GGCTGCGGTCCGAGAAACGTCCCGGGAGGTCCGCCAAAGGCCGGGGTTGTGCGGGCGAGCAAGAGGACGCGCAAGGAGCGCCCGGGGATGCTGCCTTTTTTGGGGGGGGGAGGAGAGAGTTGTGCCCCCCCTCTGGGAAAACGCCCCTTGCGCTTCGGGCATCCCCTCGGGGCGGGGAGCTACGGACGCCCCGTCGGAAAAGGTCCCCGCGGCGCCGGCGTCCGGAGCGGGAGGGCAACGGAAGGCAGAACCCGGGCAGGCCCTCCCTCCCTTTCTTCCCTCCAGCCCGGGGGGGGGCGGCGGAGGGAAGGTTTCCCTGCCCGGGGGGGGGCGCCCTCCCCTCGGATGCCCCCCACCCCCACCCCGGAGCTCTCCTCTGCGCCTGCGAGGGGATCTCAAGCTGGTGGGTTTCTTCTCCCTCCCTGGCCAGGGAGCGCCACGATCCCGCCCGGGGCTTTTCTACCCGACACGTGCAATTCATTCTCTCCATAGAAGACGAGGCGGCGGAGATTCGGGGCTTCCTCCTGCCTTCCCGGCGGGCTTGCAGAGGGAGGAGGGACCCGCCCGCGGACCCGGTTCTGCTCCCGAGAGAACGGCGGCGCCTTTGTTGCGAAGGCTCACAAAATGCAACGACGCCCCTTGACCGGGTGTGTGTGTGTGTGTGTCCGGGGCTGCCCACGGGCTCCCTTCTGTGACTGCTCAGAGGAGCTGCCGGGGAAGATGCAGCGTGGCCGCTGGAAGGCCCTGGCGCGCGAGGTGCTTCTCCCAGCCCTGCACAAGGGCCCCCTTTTCACTGCTGCAGAAACCCAGGAGAGCCTCTGGCCGGCAGCCGGCCCCCGTGGCCCTGGGCAGGCCTCTGGCTGCAGGGCTCAGGACCTGCTGGCTTCTGGGGGCACCAACACCCTTCCCTCTGGGAGACCCAAGGCGCCTGGTGTGAGCGCCCCACAAGGCGATCCAGAGGTGGTTCTGCACCACTAGGAAGGCTGACCGCTGCCTTCTCACAATACCCTTGCCAGGCAGGCAGCTCAGGCACCACCTCCATGACAGAAGGGCTGTGGATCGGCTTCTGCATCTCCCCCCCCCCCGCCAGCCCTGCGCCCTGACGATGCCCTGCAAAGAGGGTACTTTATTCCATTGGGTTATAGTGTAATAACACAGGCGTCCGCTTCCAGGGGGTAAACAAGCGCCCCCCCCGAGGAAAGTGACTCTGCTGTTCCCACTGTGACTGACCAGATGCCCCAAGGGAAAGACACCCCCTCAGTGGAAGCAGGCACAGCTGCTCCCTCCCCAAAGGCGCGGATACAAACAAACCCAGACACGTCTTGGAAGCTAAGCAACTGTAATGGGGAAGGACTCTGCGTGAACGGGGAAGATGGGGGAGTACACAGACCATCGCCCTCCCCTTGAGCCCCCACACTCCCCCCTACGGCTCCTCCTTGACCGGCACCCCCTTCTCCCCGAGGACGTGGGAGGCTTGGTGCTCCAGCAGCTTCTCCCTGGAGCGGAAAGCCCGGCCGCACGGCAGGCAGGCGAGGGTGCGAGGGCCCGAGCGGTGGAGCCGGCAGTGCACCGTGAGGTTGGCCTTGGTGGCGAAGCGGCGCTCGCACTCGGGGCAGGCGAAGGGCAGCTCCCCCGTGTGCTGCCGCTGGTGGGCGAGCAGGTTCCCGTGGCGGCTGAAGGTCCTCCCGCAGAGGGAGCAGGGGAAGCCGCCCCCCTGGACGTGGAGCTGCTGCTGGTGGATCTGGAGGCTCTCCTTCCAGCAGAAGCTCTTCCCGCACGTGGCGCAGGTGAACGGCCGGTCCCCCGCATGGGCCGCCCGGTGCCTCAGGAGCTCGGCCTCGCCGCCCACGGCCTCGCCACAGTCGGGGCACTTCTCGGGGCCCTTCCGGGCATGCTCCCGCCGGTGGGCGAGCAGGTGCCTCTTGTTCGGGAAGACTTGGCTGCAGGTGCCACACGGGAAGGTGCCCTCGGCCGCGTGGCTGGCGCGGTGGCGCAGCAGGTCTCCCCGGAGGCAGAACTGGAGGCCGCACTGGGCGCAGGCGTGGCGCCTCTTCCTGCGTTGCTTCTTGTGGGCCAAGAGGTTGCTGCGATGGCGGAAGGCCTTCCCGCACACGGAGCAGGCGAAGGGCCCCCTCTCTGCCCAGTGCAGGCGCCGGTGCTCCCCCAGGGACTCCCAGGCAGAGCAGCTCTCCCCACACTCCCCACAGATCAGCAGCTCCTCTTTGACTGGGCCCCAGGCTCCTTCCGAGAGGCGGCTCCAGGAGGGACTCCTCAGGTCCGTCAGCTTCACCTCACACCACCTGGGGCACACCTCCAGCAGGGGGAAGTTTGATCCTGGGGCGCTCCCGGGGAGGGACGGAGAAGGACTCCCACTGCGGCTGCCCGGCTCCACTTTAATCTCCTGTTTCTGCATGTCGCTCCAGCTCTGGTCAGCTGCGGGGAAAACAGGATTATTTATTCCTACTTTGCTCACTAATTTCGCACTCCAAGCAAAACAATGGCATGCAGCCGCTATTTATGACATCCCCTCTTTCTCCCTGGAGGCACCCAAGGCGGCTGCACAGCCAGAAGAGTCATAAAGGAAGCACGCTCCGGAAAGACAAACCCCAACGGGGAACACACCAGAAAGGGGAACACCCCCCCCATTGGAAGCCTTTTCCGGACACCCACTCAAGGGCTGCCTGCACTAAACCACCCTTGGCAGGGAGTGGGGGGGGTCCTCCCCTCCCCCTGGAAGGAACCCTGAAAGACAGCCTCGGAGGCCCCCGCCTCACTGTCCCGCCCAGTCTGCCTCAGAAGGGCTTCCTGGAGGGCCCCCCAAATGCTCTGCCTGTCGTTTCGGGGTACATTGCCTCGCTGGGAGCCCCTGACTGGGAATCCCCCAGCCCTGTCAGATGTTTTGCGTGGGGGCGAGAGGTAGGTTGTTCCTCGCCTCTGGAACAAGCTACCTCCGGAGATTTGTGCGGCCCCCTCGCTGGGTATCTTTAAAAATCAACTAAAAACGTGGATGCTTCGGCAGGCCTTCCCTCCAGTTAATCCCTGATGTTTTATTTTCCTTTCTTCTCTTATTGTTTCCCTTCCATCTTGTCGAATCTGTTTATTATGTAATAAATATTTTTGTATTTACAGTGGTGCCCCGCATAGCGAGGTTAATCCGTTCCGGATTAACCTTCGCTATGGGGAAACATCGCTATACGGAACAGAAAAGCCCACTGGAACAGAAAAGCACAAATGGGCACAAAACTCACCGTTCTGTGGGCGCGTAAATGCTGCGCGCGGCCATTCGCGGCCATTTCGGGTGTCCGGCGGCCATTTTGGAACCGCCGAACAGCTGATTGAAAAAAAATCGCTAAGCGAAAATTGGTAAGCGAAACACTTACTGATTATCGCTAAGCGATTTTCTCCGATTGGAACCGTCGGTATGCCTTCGCATTAGTATCGCTAAGCGATTTTCTCCCATTGGAAACGTCGGTATGCCATCACATTAGCGATAAAAAAATTGGATCGCTATGCGAATTCATCGTTATACGGTGCGCTTGTTAAGCGAGGCACCACTGTATCTGTATATTTTACGTTGTAAGCCGCCTAGAGTGGTTGCAATTGACCAGATAGGCAGGATATAAGTTTCCTACCTTCTGGGCCCCACTGGGCTCAGCTCCCCTTTGAAGAACTGGAGCCCTGCCTGAATTCGGCCTGCCTCCAGACGTTCCCCCACCCGCAAAGGAAGCTGCCCCCGGATTTGGCCCTTTGAGCCATGTTCCAGTGCTCCCAAACCCCAAATTTCTCTGCTCCCTTGCCTCACGTCTGCTAAGCCCCCTCCGTGCTTTGGCCCCCTTTCCGTTTTTCACTCAATGGATGGGCTGTGGGGGTCACTCACCGGACGTGGGGCTCCCTTGGGCACTTCTCTCCCCCGGTAGGCAGGGACCTGTGGCAGACGGTGCTTCTCCTTGCTCAGTTCTGCACATTGGCTCCGGTCTGGAAGGCAGTGGCTCTGTGCACATCACAGGCAGGAAGGTTGGTGTCTGCCCCCCTCGCAGCAGCCACCCCCGGCAGGGCAGGAGGTGCACCACCCGCCACCCCAGAGGAGGGCCCCTTCTGTGGGCCCTGATCCCCGAGGCAACACCGCCAGGAGTGCCCAAGGCAAGGGCTGTAACCCCCCCCTCCCTAGCCGGCCACCCTTCTCCTCCTCCTCCCAGCAGACACTGTCCCCTTCTTCCCCGTTTGCTCTCTGCCCGGCCCACCAGGGAGGGGGGCATGGCTTAGCCCAGGCAACACCTGGCCGCCCCCAGTTTGAAACCACAGCTGGGTGGGCTTGGGCTGAGCCCTCTGCTCCTTCCTGGCTTTGGACTTCAGTTCTCCATGAATTCCGGCAACTGCTGCCAGAAACACAAAGCAGCAACCTTATGGGGGGGGGGCTATGTTTCTCTCCCTCCCTCCCTCAGGAACAACTGACGCTCCCCCCTGCCTTGTGGGCTCCCCACCAGGTTTAGCGGGGCACAAGCGGGGGGGGGGGA